GTTCGCTCTCGATAACAGCCAGATATGTCACATATGCATTTTGCTCCGCAGTGTGGCCTCCTCTGCTCTTGGAGCAGCGGCCCGTCTGGGAGTGTAAACAACAGGGTAAACTTTAGGGAGACAGAAAGAAGAAGAGCTACTCTCTCTTTTACTCTGGGTCCCGTCTTCAGCAACCTTCGCCCCTTGGTTCTGTTTTTTTTATTCCTATCACTCATATATCACCACCACCACCACCACCACCGGCAACTAGCGGCACTACCTCGATCTGTTCGTAGTAGATTTCTTTTTCTTTTTTTTCTCTTCCCCCCAGCTTTTTTCGTGACCTTCGAGCAGGTCGGTTCCCAGAAAAAAACATAAGCTTCCTGTGATTGTCAAAAACCCTGCATCGCGTCGAGAGGTTAATCTGGCACTGAGAACGAGCTGAGCCGTGTCGATGGATGATTTGGAAAATAAGCTCGATAGAGGCGACGATTGATACCGCTTAGTTTGTCCGTCGATTCGAAGACGCAGCTTAGTTAAGCATAAAGACTGGAAACGGGCAAAAGGCTGAAGTCTGGCTTTGTTCAAAGGTAGTCTGACTTACCAGAAGTCGACAGCCTGATATCACCGCCAAGCATTTACGCTATTTGGGTTAAATCCCGACAAGAAACAACAACCTCCAAGCTCGCTAGCCAGTTGGCAAATTTTTTGGATCACACAAGTGCTTGTTGTCATCCTGGGCTTAACGTCTTATCAGTTTGATGCAACACAAACATGTCAGAGCGCTTCCCTCCAATGGCAATAATATGGACAATGCAAGATTAATTTAAAGGTAACAAGGGCCATGTTTGAATTAGCCTGACGACGCTATGGAATTTGGCTAAAAAAAAAGTCGTCCTGCTAAAAAGGTATCTACTGCTACAACAATATGTCGTCAAGGCCAATCATATATGTGCACATACACAATTGTACAAATACTGTGTTTCCTCCCAGGTTTGTCAAGGAAGTGCGTGGGAGTTTATTTGTCAGTGGACGGTTAGTTAAAATGTTTTCATTCAAGTTAAATAGAGTTGTTCTTGGCGTTTTTGTATCTGAGGAAAATGTTTCCAACAGCCTTTTCAATCTGCCTTTGCATGTCCCACAGTTTCCTGCTAGTTAGCTTGCTAGCTCGCTAAAAGGCTAACCTCAGAGTGTTCCCATGACCTGGGGACAATGTTAGCACTTGAACGCTAATCATTTGGTGTTTACTAATTTGTACTCAAGAGCATTTTGAAGGCACCGTTGTCACCACACGCTTTGGAGTTGCTAGCGTGTCGATTTAGTTACAGATCCAGGCTAGCTGTTTCTCCCATTTCCAGCCTTTATGCTATGCTAAGCTAAGCAGCTGCTAGTAGTAGCCACCCATTTACTGTACTGGCAAGCCAATGGTATCAGTCTCCTCGACTAAAAAAAACAAAAAGAAAAAAAAAGAAAGGTTTATTTCCCAAAACGTCTACCTTCTTTTGAGTTATTTTTTTTTTTTGCGAAAACTACTCGATCTGGGTTAGCTAACCGCACCATCCACACCGCTTCAACATACCGCTTCTTACTGTGTTTCTCTTTAAGGTGCTGTCATTCAAATACAAAACAATTATAAAATAGTACAAATCCAAAAGGAATAAATTCAAATAAGAGAACACACAAGAGATAATAAAATCATTCATCTTGGGCTTACTGTGTATAAAATGAAAATATAATAACACAACACCACCACCTATAAATACTACAATCTAAATGGTGAGACTGGGCAAATGTGTGTGTGTGTGTTTGTGTGTGTTTTTGTGCTGTGTTCATGGCACAGACTGTGTGAATGTGCGGGGAGACGTGAGAATGAGCGGAGGCCAATGATTTGTCGAACTGAGCGATGGGGAGGGGGGTTGAGGACACGTGAAGGCTTCTTGTACCTTGGTTTATTTCCTCTTTAAAACTTTGAGTAGGCAAGTCTGGTTTACCTCCCATGCCTTGTAGGTAAATAGTGCACATCGTTAAGATTAGTGTTAATTGATTCAGCTTGTAGTGCAACCCTTAATCAAGATATGTTTTGGCATGGTCTCTCTAGTTAGTAGTAGGGTGAAAGGGGGCTTTATAGAGTCAATGGTCATTCAGAGGGACAGAAGCGTTGGTCAATTTGATTTTGGGTGATGACAGACATCACAGGAGCATGGACTGCAGCTTTCACTGGAAACCTAATAGTTTGATCAGGCTGTGGATTCATTGTGGGCGAAGCTTTTTGTAGCTTGAATCTGTATCTGCTGGACAGTTGATTTTTTTTCTTAGCCATTCGTTACACAATACGTCCTTGCGAAGTAGGAGAAGCTGACCGCTTTTTTCATCCTCAGGTTCCTCCTGCGTTGCTGCTGGTCTGTGCTGTGCTGGTTCGGTGGTTTGAGGAGAGATGCCTGCTTGCCGCCGCTGTCCCCTCACTCCCTCTTTCATCCCGGCATCCTCTTGTCCATCCATTTATCTTTCCATCTATCCATCTTTGCTCGAAACGGGTCCTCTCTCTCTGACTGCGTAAATAAGTCCAGAGTTCCACTAAAAGCGTCATGCTGCTGTAATTTCCTGCGTTGCTTGGTTATATTTCGTATCAGGGCCGGTCGGTCGGTCGGTGGGTTGGTTGGAGGACAATTATCATCCTGCGGGTTGTTTCTCTGTTTTTTTTTTTTCTGTTTTTTTCTTTTTCTATTTCCGATTGTAAAGAAAGAATTCTAGTTGCTGGTTTGTGCACAGATCTTGTCAGAGGAACCAAGACTGAAAAAGAAAAAGAGAGGAAGAGGGAATTAGATGATGTTAATGTCAAAGCAAACGTGAACACACAAGAGCTCATAATAATAACAAAACAAACAAACAATAAAATCAAAGATGGCCGCAGGCACCAGTCTGTCACCCGCCTGTTAGTTTGTAAACTATTTTGAAGCCTCAAGATTGGAATTTATATGCCACCATCTTGGTTTTCTGAAACTGGACGTGAGAGGTAGATCTGAGTGACAACACACTCATTAAGGAGTGAATTATTGGGACGATCACAATGTAGTCATGTCCCAAAACGTACCGTTTTATCAACTATTTTGAGACTATAATGAACGTCATGCTGTCCTTAAGGAGCCTTGAAACTAATGATTGAGACCATAAACTCCTGAGGAAAAGGTTTGTTGACGTAACGGATCAAGTGGGATACAACTTATTTTGCAACCAGAGGAGTCGCCCCCTGCTGGCTGAAAGAATGCAGGTTTAAGTCTGTACAGTCGAGGGGCACGTCTTTAAGAAGTTAGTTTCCAGGTGCAGCAAAGCTTTCTTAATTTGTTGCAGCTCTGAGTTGCTCCTGCTTCTTTTCCAAACCAACAATACCTGAGGTTTACCACCGTAGTCTCGCCTGGTTAGAAATGCAATGCCCAGCTGAGACAGAGGTTTTCAATGGTTCTGCAGGCATTTCATCAGTAACTAAAGTACTGCCTAAAAGTTTCACATGATGGTAGGACGAGATGAACATCCAGGAGATCAACAAAGATGTCAGAGGCCATCTCTTGGGATGTTTGAACACCTTTAACACATTCTGGCGAGCCATTGCTGTCAAGATATTTCACTCTGAAGCACAAATGTAAAGCTCATGCCGATACAGAAAAGGTCTTTGATGTCATAAAGGTTGGTAGAATTTATCCTCTTCATGCCATGAAGACATTTGGAATGTCAGTGCAAACTTTTGTGCAGCCTCTTGCATAGATGCTGAGATATTTCTGTCTGGACCAAAGCGGCGGACGACTGACCAACTGGCATTGCCGTGCTTAGAGCGCCACCGCTCAGATGGCTAAGAGAAAGATATAATAAGGCAACAAGGAAATGACAAATGCCAGCAACTGTAAACTGTGCACCGTGTCGGCTTTTGGCCTCTAGAGGTTCCTCCAGTTCTTAACCACAGTGAGTGACAGAACAGCCATCTGGGCCACTCGCCCAACTATTATCGTCAAGTCTGTCCGGTTCTGGAGAGGAGTACAGCAACGTCTTAAATCTGGCCGGGCAGTGAATGGCTCCTAATGGCCGAGGCTGCAGCAGGGGGATGGCAGTCTGGCGCTCCCTGTCGCTTGCGCCATCTTCACGTTGGGTTTTTTCTCCTCAGCGTGAGCAGGGAGCAGAAATGGGTCACCGCCGCTGTTGTTGGCTGCCCCGCTTGGCCTGCAGGATCTGGCACTGCCGGCTAGTGCGCCAACATTCTAGAAGTCAAGCCTTGGAAACTACTCTGAGCCTCCGGGGAAGCAGCCTTTTGTTTTGTTTGACTCTAACAGGTCGCATGAATACCACCCCCCGCCTCCTGCCCTTCTCAGCTACCCTACTCCCCTGGGCACTGTCCCAGCAGTCCTTGGGCATTGTAACTTCTCCCGTCTTAGTTACTTTGCCTCTCTCTCTCCTTCTGTGTGTGCTCTTACAAACACACACAATCCATCTATCTCCCGTGAACACTCCCACTAAATCCTTGGCAGCAGACAGTGACCACCCTCTTTACTTTCCTGCCCCCCGCGCTCGCCCCCCACCCACTCCAGAGCAACCCCTTCTCAAATTCAAGATCAACTGGCTATGACATCATGTCTGGTTGCCGGGGGTAACGAGACGGCCGGGACGTGACTTCTATAAGGGCCGAAACTCCGTTGCTTTGTTCCCTCCATTTCCCTTCTTTTCCTGTCCTGTCGGTATCTTGTTTCTTTCCTCCCCGGGCTGCAGCGCCCAACACTCGCCACTAGAGTGCGCACAAAGCCCACTGCTGCCGCGACGAGAGCCTCCCCAGTCTGCTCTGTAGTCACCACGTACACACTTTTTTTGACAAGGTCTTTGTCTTGTAAGCGGTCTTTATTTATTTAATTTCTTCAGTGGATCATTAATCTTTTTGTGTCGTCGCGGAGACACATGTAAACAGTTAATGCTGTGTGTTTTGGTTCATGCCTTAAAAAGTAAAACCACATTTCAGACATTTTGTCCCGCTCGGCGCAGAACGTCGAGGCTTTTGTGTGAAGATACACTACATGGCCAAAAGTAAGTGGTTACCTCTGTGCGTATAGTCTTGTTTACCTTTGGTCTGGGGTTGTTTTTTGCGGTTCGGGCTGGGCCCCTTCCTTCCGACGAAGGTAAATCCATAGCATATTTCAGACAACAGCGTCTTTCCAACTTAGTGGGTAACAGTTTGGGAAAGACTGTATCACGTTCCAACATGACCGTGCACAAATTCGCAAAGCCAGGACCATAAAGAAATGGTTTTGGTGCGAGAGAACTTGACCTGGGATGTAGGGGAACCCCGACTGTGAATCAGCCTTTACTGCTCAAAATCAGTGCTCGGTTTCACTGTAATGGCTTTGTGGCTGACGAGTGGAAGCTATTACAGCAGCAGATTAATGCCCATGGTTTTAGAAATTCATGTTTGACATTCAAATACAGTATGAAGGCAATGTTCGGATGTCCACATCGTGTGTTGGAGTATGTCTAAAATCCTAACGCAGGGGGGAAAAGAAAGACACGAGGCAGGGCTGAGGCAAGTTATGCATACATTATCAACAAAGAGGAACAGGAGGGAAAACAGGCAGCGTGAAAAGTGGTGGAGCAAAAAAAGGAAATAAAGACTGAAATGAGAGTAAGGGGAGTATGGAGTGGAGTGTAATGAGCGGAGGGGCAGAAATGGAAAGGGAGAAAAAGCGAGAGAACGGAGGGCAGAGAAATAAGGGAGGGGATCAGCAGAGCAGTTTCAGATGGTTTCCATGTGTCGAGGAGCAGAGCTGAGCTGGCTCCAGGCGGGTGTGGTTGGACACTAATGAGAAAAGTACTGGTGGTAATGGAGGAGGCTCATGAACCAAGTGCAGAGCAGCGAAGGGAAGGAACGGAGAAGGTGAAAGAAGGGGAAAGTAAAAGGCGAGCGACAGAGATAATGAGGCAGGGGAGAAAGTGGGAAAAGTTAAAAAAAAAGAGGGAGAACTTGAAGTAGGAAAGGAGACGGGGAAGGGAGAGGTAGCAAGAAGAGGGAGTGAAAAAGGCAATGAGCGAAGAAGGCTTTGCCGCCTGAAGGGTAGGCTCCATATGTGCCAAATAAACAGTTGAGCACATATGGTAAACCACACACGTACAGTAAAATACAGATGTACAAATGCACACATTGATGGCGCGCTGTGGGATGGTGTGAGAGGAGAGGTGGAGGAAACCCAGCAGCAGGTTTCAGGGAGTAAGGGAATAGGAAATATTTTGGCGTACATCCACGCAGTTAATAAGTTTCCTGAGTTTGACCAGTAATCGCAGTCAAAACAGACGAGTTCCCTCCTCAGTTTTCTACACAGAGAGACAAAGTGCCAGTGTGTCTCCCCCCCCACCACCACCGAAACCACCACCTACCTGTGTCTGCTGCGGGATGTTCAGAAAGTTGTTGTCCCGTGATCCGATGCCGACAAACCTGTTGGGAGCTGTGGCGCCTGGCGTGGAGTATGCTACAGAAACAGAAGAAGAACAACAGAGGACATGAGTGTACACAGAAATAGCGAGCAGTGCAACGTCCTGTGGAATCTTTAAAGCAGTGTGCTTGGACATTTTGGGAAATAAATGTTTTCGTTTAGTTGAAAAGTGACACTACTCTGTCTTCAGACTGTACAAGATGCAGTCTGTTAGCTTAGCTTAGCATAAAGACTTAGATGGGGAAACGGCCAGCTTGCTCTATCCAAAGATAACACAATCTGTCTGCTAGTCCCTCTAAAGCCTCCTTAAATTTTAATTAAATTTGTTATATCCGTCTTGCATTGCTAGACCTATCTCCGCAGCGCTGTGCCAGTCCTGGAGAATAATCGGACCACACCTCATAGGGGTTTCAAATGATTTGTTTGTTTCCTTAAAACACAAACACAATCATCTTCGCTAAGCCCAGGATGCAGCAACAGTGTCCTTGGAAAACAATAACAGGGGGATTGTTTAGTGGAACGTTTGCATGTCGGGCGGTGAGCACTACCATTGGAATGGCTACGACCCTGCAAAAAACAACAAAACAAAACAAAAAACAAACAAACTAGCAGTGCTGCCTTATGGTACTATTTAAGACTTTGGCTAAATTTGCCACTTCTAGCGTGTAGACTGCCGTTTGGAGATTATTCCCATTATGAACTTTGAAAGCGGTGAGATGCAGATAGCAGATGGGGAGAAGAAAACCCTGTGACTTGTAACTACAGTCTAAAGTCAAATATATCTGTACAAATTATAAAAACAGTAGGACTTCTGGAAATGTTTGCACTCGGTCTGCAAACCCAGAACTATTTTTTTTTTAGTTCCACTAAAAATACCAAACTAGCCGTTTACCCCTTTATGCTAAGCTAAGCTAATGTAGCTTCAGATTTATAACGCCGATATGAGAAGTGGCATCTTCAGCTTCAGCCACAAAGCAAACAAGTGTGTTTCCCAAAATGCTGCTTTAAGATTAAGTAGCACAGAGTAAATCTAACACATCAAAAAGATTAAAGCCGGCCAGAAAAATTTTATTTAAAAAAAAATATAATAAAAAAAGAAAATCTGATACATGCACTTACTTCTACAGAAAGTACGGCTGTATATCATTGAGGTCAGTGAAACCCCTATGGATAAGTTTGCCAAAGTCTGGTATGCAAACTCAGATCTCCCTAAGTGATTAAATCCAGTCGCTAAACTCAGCTGGAAGTGATTGAGCACACCCGAATCCTGACACCGAGGATCAGTCAGGGACATTTAAAACCCACTGGCATCAACGTCTCTGACAAATTTAGGGCAGTTTGAGGAACCCTACGGACTCCAGAATTTGAATCTCACTGAGGGATTCGGGGATTCAGTGTGCAGACTGGTGCAATATGTGAGTCTGTTTGTGTGGAGGAAAAAGGGAAGAAGGACAAGAAGGAGAGAGACAGGAAGGAAGATACAGTTCACACCCATGTGTTGCTAAGAATCGGAATAACATACATAAGACATAGAAGACTTTGAGACGCTGACTGGGGGGGTAAAACGAAAACACTAAATTTGAAGGAGTTGCTAAAAACAAGCAAAAAAAAAAAGAAAAAAGAAAAAGAAAGTGCTCCATCCAGTGCCCCTCCTATCACAGGTGAGGAAACCTACTGTACGACTCACAGAAGCTGCTTTACCTGAAAATGCACACCCTGTTCTTCCTGTCTAGCAAATCACCAAGCAATAAAAAAAAAAAGAAATATCCCACCAAAAAGCCGAAATGAGCTAAAGCAAAAGGGAAGTAAAACTATTCCACCAATGTCCTAATTTCTACTGGAGTCCATGTAAATTAACTGCCCTAAATTTGTGCCCTTCGCAAGTAAGAATCAATTAAGGATCAAAAGAAAAAAAAAAATCTTCTCACAAGGTTTTGCGGATGAGTCCAGCAGCGGGGGGAGGAAAGGAGGATTTAGAAGGAGCTGGAGTGGCGATCCACACCACATAACGCAGAACGGGCTTATAGCGTGTAGAGCCACGCAACCTTATGAGGCCTAATACGGAACCCTGAGGAGTCCCACAGAAGTCCGTAACGACAGACGGATCTCACCAAACCTCTGGTGATGCTACTCTAAACGTGCCCCACGGTACGTTCTATCGCCTTCCGAGGGTTAAAGGGAGGTGAGATGCTGGATACACACTGATGGCACGAAGTTGGAGGAAGAACAATGACACGGGTCTGTTCACTGGAGAGGGCTTTTTGTTTTTTTTGAGGCGGGGAGGGGAGGTTTCAGATTTTTTTGTTTTTGCTTTTTTTAAAATTTTGGTGTCGGTTTTTGAGAACGGTCTCTGCGGGGTCACTTACACGGAGATGCGGGCGAGGAGAGTCCGCCGTCAGGGGGCGTGCTGTTGGGTTTAGAGTCGGGCATGGGGAGGGGCACTGGGCGGGCCACTGGGGGAGGTGGAGGCAGCAAGAAGGAGCCTGGCATTTTGCTCTGGCCGCTCCCGTTTGGCTGCAGACAACACAAATAGGGTCAGGAGGGCGACATGCGACAATCCGCAGACACGGAATGAAAACAGGACGCAGCTCGGGGAGGCCGGGTCCAAAAAAAAAAAATATCCATGACGGAGGGAGGAGAAGGAGGGGGGAGCGATGGTGGAAAAAGGGGGAGGAGGAGGAGGAGGTGGGGAGGTGGGAAACAACAACCAAAGGAATGATGTATGTGGACGGCATCTTTCATGGAGGTGTGAATAAATAATAGTCACCACAGGGTTTGAGAGGAGCTGGAGGTGAGAGGCTCCACAGGGGGTGGGTGGGTAGGTGGGGAGTGGGGAGGTCCGTGTCGGGTGGAGGAGGTGTGGAGGAGGGAAGTGAGCAAATCATTTGAACTGGGTTCGTCCAGAAGATGGCAAGAAATCAAAAACCATGGGAGAATACTCTTCTACACAAGCACAACACCACCAACGATACCAGCACCAAACAACCAAAACTCCAACTAAAAAAATCGGAAACAGCTAGAGATGAGAACAGAAACACGATGACAACAACAACAACAACAACAACAACACAGGACGGGTATGCTTGACTTGAAGTGAGGCCGTGACTGATTCACGCTCGTGCTGATGGTTGTAACTTCTGAGGGGTTGGGTGGAGCAAAATAAAAAAATAATTGAGAAAAAAAAAAAAAGAAAAAAAAAAAGAGACGAGGAGGGGAGAACGTCGGGGGTCTGAAACAGGAAACGGCAAAGTGACATCGACAAGACAATACAAAGATCTGTAGAGCAGCTGACTAAACAGTATGTTCCACTGGTGTCGCTGTGGGTGCGTTTCTCTCTACGGTGTTGGTGGAAATAAGCTTTTGTTTTTTGCATGCACTTGAACTAATCATATATGTATTATGGTTTTAGATTTGTAAAGCGAGTTGCTGATTATTCAAAGATGCGGAAGCAAAAAGAGGACGTGAATTTAACAATAAGTTCTAAAATTAAAACACGACTGCATACTTAACGTTGAGGCGTTTTAACCAACCGTCTGAACAAATGCCTACTTAACAGATATGCTCGTGTTTTTAGGAGTTCACAAATTAAGCATAATTAACACGGATTTGTTTAAGTGCTCGAATTAGGATCTGAAAATCCAAAAAAAATTGGAGTTAAGATTCCAGGGATTAGCTTATATTGTGTCTGTTACATCAGCGGTCCCCAACCACCGGGCCGCGGACCGGTACCGGGCCGAGGGTCATTTGTTACCGGGCCGCACAGATAGAATAAAAACGTTTTATTGGTTTATTTTTATTTCCAGCGGAGTCTGCAGGGTGTTTTATTTTGAAAAACGACTAGCTCGTCTTCCCGTCACTTCCGTTTGTGCTCGTTTCCCGCGTTTGACTGTCAGTTTTGATGCCCGGCTGCTAAACGAAGCCGTCAGTCAAACACAAACGTCTCAGGAGAGCTGCTTTGGAAAGTGGGAGAGACTCGATACTGAGACAGAGAAAAAGTAAACATATTAAGCAATAAAAATTAATTTTATTCATTTATGAAACTTTTCAATAGAAAAAAAAAAACAATTATTATTTGTTATGTGCGTAATGACCGGTCCGTAGAAACATTTCTTGCTTAAAACCGGTCCGTGGTGCAAAAAAGGTTGAAGACCGCTGTGTCACATGACCTAAAGGCGACAATTTAAAAAAAAAACCTTTGGGATTTTCTCAATTTGTGAACAATTTGTTTGTTTTTTTGGAAAGCAAACCACATGTCAACATGAGGTATACAGCAGTGGTAACATTTGGCCCGTTGTTGCTTCCGTACATTTTCACTCATATACTTTATTTTTCTACTTCCAGTCTTTTACAGTTGCTTTTAATAGCGCACTACTCAGCAGTCCAGTATAAGCTACGTGCAAGCTGGTACAGTTCAGTCGTCTTTTCTCCTTTTCTCTTACCTGTCCGGCGGCCTGCCCTGAGCCATCAGCACAGACAAACTGCACAAATTCCTTCAGGGGGTCCTGTCCAGGGTGGTGGTGGTAGCGGATGGTTGGGTGGGTGAAGTAGGGGCTAGACTGCTGGATGATGGAGGGAGACGGGAAGTGCAGGGCCGAGGCTGAAGCACGGGGACTCCCTGCAAACACAGGTGTTTGTGTTAGACGACCACCAGCGGCGACAGGAGGAGGAGGAGGAGGAGGAGGAAGGAGGCGAGAGAAGAGAGAGAAAAAAAAAAAGACATGAACCACTGAATTTCCAACACTCTGCCAGATGTGAGAGATGAATTAAGCCACGGACGAATGACAGCGAGAAACATCGACTGCAAACGATGAAGCTTAAATCTGCCTTCAACACGAGGGGAATGTTGTTTTTCCAGGAACAAAAAAAAAATTCAAGTTAATAGCTCTTACAGGCATTCCTCGTGTTTTATGACGGCTCCATTAAACCTATGCAGCTTTATGGAGGAGATTTACACACACATTGTATTCATATGTGCAGAGTTTCAACATTTTTCAGCCATTCGGACACAAACACACACCTGAATGTGCACAAGATGCAGAGAGCTACGGTTTTTGAAATCAGATCCAAAGAGCTTGTAAAAAAAAAAAAAAAGAGAGAAAGCACAAAGAGATCATTGAGTAATGTCTTAAATTAGCCGGTCTGTCTTAATGCCTGCACGCCTGTGTGCTGTTCTGAGGGTGTGATTCATTGGCGTTGATGCAACTTGGCATTTGCATGGTAAAGCTGTTTTTTTTTTCTTTTTTATCTGACACATTTTGTTTGTACGACTGAAATAATCGTACAATTTAGGTCTGAGTTGATGTTTTCTTTAAACGGCTACGGCGCTTCGTACCCGTAAATATACGTACGTGTATAAAAAAATCTTTTTGTTCTTCGCGAGAGAGGAAAATAGACGTATGTGCGAGAGGGGAGCAGTTGTTCGAGCCCCGCCACACCAAACACAAAGCCCGCTCTGTCAGACCTATATCCATTACTAAATCTCCTTGATTTGTATTAGAAGCCTGTTCTCCTCGTCGCCGTGCCAGTCTGACACCCACCCCATCCCATCCAGGCCCCCCAGCTGCCCACGTCGGGCTGCCAACACTCTTTGGTGCTCGCATCTTATACATTGTGTGTGTGTGAGTGTGAGTACTCGGTGAGGGTGCCAACCCGGCTGCATTACCCCCCAGACTGGGCCTGTGCCTCGGAGCCCAGCAGCACCTTGCTCCCATGCCAGGCTGCCTGCTCCCAAGTGAAGCTGTCTCCCTGCTCCTATAGTCCCATACTAATCCCATTAGGGACTGGGCGAAGGCCAAACGCAGGGGGTATATAGAGGGGGGTGAGGACGGGGACCGGGTGCTGGGGATGGTGAGGCGGAGGGGAGGGGACGGGATCAGAGGGAATCCCTGCACCCCCTCATCCCTCTACAGAAGTGGTTCCCATCTTTTTTATTTGGTCCCATGTGTCCTTAGAGTCCTGTCAGATACACCCAGAGATCTCTTCATTGACTTTACCTCACATGATACAGCTGTGATCATCTGGACTGAATGTTTTTACACGGCTAAGTATATCCAAGTTAATATTAATAATTTCTTATGTAGTTGACCTCAGATGTTAAATCTGTTCTCATGGCAGAAGCTGGATGTTTGTTTTTGATCACTTTCAAGCTACAGTTATATTTAGCTATGTCATCCATTTGTCCATTGCTTTTAGCAAATTTAAAAAGAAAACAAAAATCATAATTGCCTTATTTTTTAGGCTATTTTAACATTTATATACGACTTATAGCTAACTATTTCGTCCAGTATTTGGAGCCATTTCATTTATTTATACACATTTACATGCAACTTTTAGCCAACTATCACAGCCATTTATCTTTTTTTTTTTTAGCTAACTACTTTTACATTTATTCTGAATGTCTAGCTAACTATTGCCACCATTCATCTATTAATTTTAGCTAACTACTTTTAAATTTACTCTGAAATTTTAGTTAACTATTGCCACCATTCAACTATTAATTTTTAGCGAACTACTTTTACATTTATTCTTAACTTTTAGCTAACTATTGTTACCATTTATCCATTAATTTTTAGCTAACTACTTTTACATGTATCCATTATTTTTAGATACCTATTCAACAATTTATCAATTACTTTAAGCTAATTATTTCATTCATTACTTTTAGATAACTATTTTTCCCTTAATCCACTATTTTGCACAGCTTTGTCCATTTCCAGATTGCTTTTAAGCCGTCTTGATACCTGAAGTTTATGCATCTGAACATTTATGCTATCCATTACTTTTAGCTAACTAGCTTGACATTTATCCACTATTTTTTAGCTGGTTCTTCCATTTATACATTAATTTAAGTCATTTCAACTTTTGTCGATTCTATTATTAAACTGTTTTTATCCATTTATACCAGCCATTATTTTTTAAAACAAAATCTGTGTTATCCATTTATATATTGTATTTAGCCATTTCAACATTAATCAAGTATTTTTTGCTAACAACTTCAACCATTTAGCTTACTTTTAGCTTACACTTTCACAGCAAATTATTCACTGTCTACTAGCTGAGGAACTTTGCTAAACTCCGGTCTGTTGTGTTCATAGATAAGATTGAGGTTCCCATATGAGCTTTCATTTCCTCCCACTTTGACCTTTTGACCCGTCTTGATAATAAATCTCTGAACCACTTAAAAGTGCTCCAAGATTCTGCTGCCAGATCATCCAGAGGGTCTTTTGCAACTCTAATCCTGATCGCTTTACACCGGCTCCCCATCAAATTCAGTTCAAGAGTCCTGGTCAGACACCTGTCTTCACTACAGAGCTGCTATAATACCAGTAAGGAATCCGATCACAGTTTGTTGGTTGTTCTTCGCTCCAGGCTCAAGACAAAAGGTTTGAGGTTGTATCTCCAAAACTTTGGACTTGTCCCCTGTTGGAATTAAGATCTGTGGACACTCTTTTAAAGACCCATTCCAATGTTTTTTATCTGGTAGTCTCGATTTAATGTCTTGTATTCTGTCTCCTATTTGCTTTTTGGTTTTCTTTTAAGAAGCAGTTTGCTCTTGAGAGGTGCTATACGTATAAAACGTACTTTCGTCCTATTCTTCAAGCTGTCTTCCAAACATAGCATCCGTATGTTTACTTACTTTACAAACTGTTTATTCTCTTTACTGCTTCGACTCCCGTTGGGCACTAATGGCCCCACTAGACACTCACTGGGAGCTGCTAGAGGATCGTAGGGGTGGATCACAGGAAGTGCGCTGAAGTTAATGGTGAAATATTTTCTCCTTCAAGTATTCCTTCCTTCAAATGGGGGTTTTGCTGTCCCAGAAAGGTCCAAAGACTACTGCTGGACCACAGATGACGGTGGCTGGAACGACAAGCTCCATGAAAACCACCAAACAACCGCCGCCGCTGCGAGCAGCTGGCCCCCGCATGCTCCTCCATCTCACTTCTCCGACTCCTAAATCCCCTCGGATCTTGTCTTTTTACACAGAACAACAACAAGGCTCGTGATGTGGTGAGCAGGCAGCATGGCAGCAACCCCAACGCGCACACTGCTACAGCTGGTGTAAAGAGAAACAAATCACAACTGTATAAATTACAACTGCTCGCCACAGCGAGGAGGGATGTCGTACGCATGTGTGCGCGCGTTGGTGTGAAAACGTACAGTACACATTATGAGTGTGTGCGGAGATTGGATTCGCTGTAGCTACATCTCAAGAGGAATAGGGGCTGTCAACAACCGCGGAGGAGGGTTTAATGACTCGGCGGTCAACCTCATTGCCTCACATCTGCTTGGTGGCTTAAAAATCCTTTGATGTAGCCTAGCTGGAGAACTAAAGCACATGGGTAATTATCTCCAGCGAGCTCCTTCACTGGGCGAATTTACAAATGTGCAGTTTTGGAATAAAAAAAAAAGAAAGACAAGAAAGTCCCCGACACGATCTGCGCCGGGGTGATAAAATTAAGAGAGTGATGATTGATACTCGGAGCCCCCTTTGGCTGTGATTGATATCTGAGCAGCTTGTGGAGAATCAGCTGGTTAGCGCAGCGGGTTCAGACTCAGAGTCCGACTCTCTGCCCTCGCCAGCATGAGTAAAGACGAGCTCAATCTGGAGCTCCCGGTCCATCAGAATTTAACTGTAAAAGGCAAGAAAAAGAGAGATATAAAACTGTGAAATGCAAAGACCCACGACTGGATCTTCCTACTTGGGACTTGCGAACCAGAAATGATTTTCCCGTTACTTCCACTCTCGGTGGAGTGTTTACGGTTTTCCTCTCCTGGATTATTAAAAGGCCCCGTGCTCGCCGCTCTGTGGAGATCTGATTAAACTTGAATTAATTTCGATATCACAGGGGATCGGTTTCACCTTACAAGTAGATTTTGGCACAGGAACCCCGTTTAATACGAGAGCTCCGATATCCGTTTAAAGGACCAGTGTGTCGGATATTTAAAGTATTCATAATCACATCATCAGTGTTAGCGTATAACGACCTGTAGCTATGGATAGAGGAGGTTTTGTTGGGAAGCTCTTCCATTGAGTCCACCATGTTGTTACAGTAAGGGGTCTGTTTTACATTGAAGTCCACCTACTGTAGGTTCTCCTACAAGCTTAGAAAGGGAGGAATGAGTGAGCTCGCTGCTAGATACCACTAAATCCTGCACACTGGCCTGCTGAAGGCTTCGATTAGGTCGACTGATGTTGTGCTTTTGTGGTGGATATCTCCATATTCACCAACATCAAATTACTACAGACCAACGCGGGCGGTACATTTCGGAGATCGTTCCTACTTTTTCTAGTTGCTGCTGGAACTTTTTTAATAATAAAGGGTAGTCCAGTATAAATAAATACATGGGGGATCCCCAAGAAATCAAAGCAGCAGAAGGTGAGAACTTTTACTTACGAGTTATGGGTGAAGCTCCAGAAAAGGAGGATCTAGAAATAATTCAGTAGAGCCCTTCGTAAACGGCCTCCACACCCCTTAAACGCCGTCTTTTCTTAGAACCCCACTCCTTGGGTTGGAAGTCGCAAGCCTGAGCTGGGACATCATTAGTAATAGTCCTTGTATTTGGTAAATTATTTGTAAACGTAGATCAGTTAGTTTCGTAAAACTCCACCAACTTTCTGATATTTAGTCAACTGAATCATTTGATCTAAACAAATTAATCTTGAGGAACAATCACTACGTAACAGGTTATTAGGTTTTTCTGCCGTACGAGTGTCCATCGAAGCAAATGATTCCAGACGGTTCCTTAAAAAGTGTACAAAGGTGTTGAAGGAAAGACTGGACAGAAGAGGCAGCAGAAGCCACCTGATCTGTCGTCCCGCCCTAAAAAAACAGAAGATCTATAGAAGATGATACACAGAGATGTACAACCAACCACCAACCATCCACCACCAGACAGGCCCAGAGAGAAACAAAAACCACACACCACACCCAGACTCCCTAGAAGCTCCATCACCAGCGTGGCCTGCACCCTAACGAGGTCAGAGGAGGAGACCTACAGAGCTACCTGCCCAGCCACTCTCATCTCCCAAAGACTCCCACCTCTAAACCACAAGGGGAGGGGTGGGGGGGGGGGGAAAAGGGGGGTTGGGGAGGGGGCCCTGGAAATAGTAGTGTGGAGTGGGTAGGAGGAGATGGTGAGGAGGGGGAAGAGGAAGGGGGATGTAGGGTGTGGGGGGGTGGGAGGGGGCGATCAAGGTAGGGATCGGGAGCTGGGTTGGTCTCACCTGGTCTCACTCCCGCCAGCATTGGCAGTGGGTGGTGGGTGAACGCCATGCGGGGGGACCTCGTCTGGGAGGACAGGGCGCTGAAATCGAATTTCCCCGGCTTCTTAAGAGAACCAGGCGATGAGAGTCCTGGCAAAAAGGGGATCAACAAAATGGCAGAACAGAGACGAGGTTTTAATCAAACATGGCTGCTTTTCTTACTTCGACTCTACTCAAAAAAAGAAGAAGAAGGAAAAAAAAAAAAAAAAGAACTTTATCAGACTTCTTTAAAAAAATTTGATTACAAAGAATCAAATGTGGTTATGACTGACTGAAATCAATGGATTGATCGATCGATTCATTCATTGATTCGTTTGATTGGCTTAACATACAGATGGGGTTCTCACAATCTGTCTGTCCGGTACTCTACGTACGGGCTGTACCAGGTCCGCCAGGTTGAGGGGGGGGAGAGGGGGTTTGGGGAGGTCGAGGGCGGGGTCCGGTGAAAGGCCATGTTTTGAGCAGCAAAAGGGGGGAGTTCAGAGCGAAGGGGGGTTGTGACGGGAGAAAGGGGGAGGAAGGCGGGTCGAGGGAGGTTCGGGAGGTAGAGCTGGGAAACGGTGGTCCAAGTCCACTGGGTGTACGAGCAACACAGCTGGAATCAAGAGGTGTCTCCTTTTAGAGAACTATCTGACTAATCCCCCCAAAAAAACACAAAAAAAACACCCAACAATCTCCGGCGTAGCTACAGAGAGCTACAGCAACACAAACATGCCAACCCAACCTACTCACTGCACTCGCCTCTTTGGAGTGAATGGGAACCTGGATAGCCTCGTATCTGGGGCAGACTGTGTTTTTTCGATGCCAGCAGGAGCTGCGCGACTACTTATAGCTGCAGAGGAGCGCGCCAAAGCATACATCAATGGATCTTCTGATATAGTGCCGTTCTGCATATCTGACTGTCAGGTATTTTATGTGACTGCCTTAAGACCTATAGTATTTCATAAAGAAGTTCTTGAAACTCACACACACACACACTCACGCACACCCACACAAGCTGTTCAGGCTGGGTGGCAAGTACCGGGCAACGTGCCAGCGAAAGGCTGGATGGGAGCGCTGCAGAAAAGATGGAAGAAGTTAAGCGGGAGAGGAGCGGTGACGGCATGGCCGGCACACATAGACAAACATATTAAAGTGTCCCCCTCTGGCTATAAATGTCGGCTGAGGCTACAGGACTGCATGAAATATCCCTCAGTTTGGTAAAAACGGGCACACTAAGTATAGGCCCGGCTCACCAGCGGACCAGAAACATGGCCAAAAGTGTGAGAGCTACAGATAAAAGAGGCTCTCTTCTGTGATCAAGGCCTTGTGTGGTGGGCGCTGAGGGAATTTATTTTGATGTATGGTAATCCAAAGGCACAATTTAGACTTTCAGGGTTGGAGGAACAGCGCCAAATGGTGTATCTGACCTCTGCCGGGAACCGCAATGTTGAATATAAGCTGAAATAAAACTCTGGAAAGAAAAATCCATAAAAAACAGAGAATAATGAGGAAGTAGAAGTATAGAAAGAAGTACATCGGCGTGGACGCACAGACCTCATTACTTTTCCTCGGGAACATACTGAGCTCATGTTTTTTGTTTGCTTCGGATTCGCTCGAAAGAATACGGCGATAAACAACCCTGGTGAGCGAGAGGCCCGTAAACTACTAAACGACACAATATTCACACATATAAAACAAACACACTCAAATAAAAATGTGGGTAATTTCAACATGGCCCAAAGAGATGTGGAAATAGATTTTATGAGCGAAGCATATAAAGTCTAACAGAGCAGATTTCTGAAAAGCTTTCTTTCTTTTTTTTTTTTTTTGTTTAAATGCTACACTGGGAAATGTTTTTATCACTATTTACCCTGAATGCTCATAGGCTCCATGGGTGCAGCTGCGCTTGTGTGGGCACCGACAAGTATAGAAAAAAGGTGGCGGCCAGCGTTTAGGCACGTCATGTGACCCCACGAGGAGAGCGAGGTGCGTTTTATTTGCTGGTAGAAGAAGAACAGAATCTACGTAAAAAGCAGCGAAGTTACGACGCTATCCATATGGTAACGATATCGTGCTTCTCTCGGTGTTGGATTAACAACCAGTTTTACAGTCAGCGCAGGCAAATTTCAGTCTACTGTTAACACATATTTGGAGATGTAAGAAAGGACTGGCTGATTATTAGATTTAATATTTGGCATTGTTATTGCTTTAAACTGGTTTCCACTGCTTTGGCTTTGGCTGCTGTGGACACTCTGTGAACTCGAGTAATGTCCCGCCCACGGCGCGATCTGATTGGTTGCAAGTCCGAGGTGAAAGCCAATCAACACTCAAGGATAAATGTTGAACATGTTTACAACACGAATAAAGCCATTTCAATTGAGCTCTGTGTTGGAAGTTCTCAATTTGGACGCCAATATTTTCATTTTTACTGCAAATAAATATCAGTTCCAAACATCAGTTATTGGTTTGGTTGAATAAACCCTGGAAAACAATGTGCTACTATGCATTNATGTGTTAGCTGTAGTGTAACGGGGGGCTGCAAGGTGGAGCGGTGGTTAGCACTGTTGCCTCGCAGCAAGAAGGTCGTCGGTTCGCGTCCCGTCAATTAAAAAAAACACAGATAAAGCTATATGCATGACATCTTTTAACCAGTGGTATAAAATTGGACTAAAATTTTGTTGCTACTTTGCATTTATGTCTACAACTCCTTAAATTTGGTCTATTTATTAATGGTCTTTGGTCCTCATTTAAGATATTGATGTTGGGTAACAGGGATGCAAGGTGGCTCAGTGGTTAGCACCGTTGCCTCGCAGCTAGAAGGTCGCTAGTTGGCGTCCCAATGGGGACACCCGGGTATCTTTCTGCCTGGAGTTTACATGTTCTCCCCGTGCAGCGTGGGTTCTCTCTGGGTTCTCCGGCTTCCTCCCACAGTCCAAAATCATGTTGAGGTTAATTGGTGATTCTAAATTGTCCGTAGGTGTGAATGTGAGTGTGCTTGGTTGTCTGTCTTAAGTGTAGCCCTGTGATAGACTGGTGACCTGTCCAGGTGAACCTGCCTGAATCAGCTGGGATAGACTCCAGCAACCCTAGTGAGGATTAAGCGGAGTAAAGATGATGGATGGATGTGTTGTAACGGGGTATTCTGCTTTTGCTACACAGAGTATTCGGTTCATTCGTTTAGTCTCAACCTGTTGTAAATGTACTTTGGCTCAAGGGTGAGTTTTGTCAAACTTTAATGGTGCTAAAGTATCTGTGAAGATTCTCAGTCATCCAGGTCATGGTTATTCTCATGGTTTAATCGTAGCAACTGGACTTGCTTGAGTTCCTTGAAGACCTCTCATCCAAGAGGCTTCATCAGCTCTGACCGACTAGTTGGGAGTTCCACATACTGATATCCCAAAGGAACCATTAACACCTGAGTTTTCGGTTTCGGTAAAGCAGGTGTGAAGGTTTGAAGAATGAGTCATACTAGAAGCTAAACACCAACATCTCTCTGGTTTTGCATCGATTGTCGTCCTGTTATGTTTCACTCATTTTCCACTTGCGATTTCCCAACATCCTGCGAGTACAGAGCCACATGGACAAAAAGAAAAAAAAAGCACAATCTGATCACAACAATAACAACAAACCGAATCCCAACTCGCACGGATCCGATGCACCGCTGCAAACAAAAGCCCGCTTTGGCTGCGGCTCCTCTGCGGTCCGTACAGGCATGACTGCGTGCCACCACATCCCAACGTCAATTATAACCAGCTTATTATGCATAAACAGCCTTAAATTATACATATTGTTTTTAGTCTCTGTGATATTCCCTAATTAGTCGGTATCTCGCTGAAATATCTGGTGCCGCGCGGCTTCTCAGTGAGGAGCGGCAAATGAGGCCCAGATGCCCAATGAAAGCTTTGTCTGATAAAGCTAACAGAAGTTACTCTGATCTCTTCCCTTAATCTGTGTGGGTGTGTGGGATGCGAGTCTACACACATATATATATACACACACACACACACACATACACAGTTGTTTGTTCTACATTATTTCTGTGTCCTGCTCCTGGCACTCTGCACGAGCAGACTGGCAGCCAATTGCTCCCATGACCCTGTAGTCTTGCCACGCTAACAAGCTGGCGACCACACAAACCCCCCTAACTGTCACAGAACCGGTCCACTCGCTCGCACACACTCACAGCAGAGAAAGAATAGAGCTCACACACACATTCAGGTAAGCGAGAAACAACAATGTATATTAGCAGAGTTCCTCATTAGCCGATTCGTTAGCCCCTCGTCATGTGCTTCAGGCGGAGCACCTCAGCAACACACACACACACACAGAGCACAGTTTTATGCCCAAATAATTAACTCTGCGTCAATAACACAAATACATGGGAAACCCCCACCCCATCCTCCTCCTCCTCCTCCTCCTTTTCCTGAAAAGTTGGGTTTTCCCACCACCGAGCAGCAGGAGCAAGCAGGCAGAAGGAGAGAACGGAGCAGAGCTGAGCGGGAGACGGCAGACTTAATGATGAATTACATGATCACCTGCTATGCCTCAGAGCTTTTCATTCAGGTAGAGAATCACCTCCAGAGCAGGCGAGAGGCGGAGGCCCTCCCCTTCATCCCTCTTTCCATCCTCCCCTCCTCCCGCCCGTCCTCCACCCCTCTCCTCCTCTCCTCATCTCTCACTCCCAACACCACCACCACCATCACCAGAACAGATGTCTGCTGTAACCCAGTAGCTCCCTTCGCTGTAGACACATGGAGGCGCCATCTGGACCGGAACGCTGCTCCTCTCCAGATTGGGGAGTGTGTTTATGTGTGTGTGTGTGTGTGAATGTAAATCAGAGAAAGAGCTTGAATTTAGGTTTTTTTTTTTCCTGGTGTGTGCGCGCTCGTCTGCATGTCATTTGTAAATGTGTGCGTCGGTGAGTAAGCATGTCTCGGAGACAGAAGGCGCCTTGTGAATTGATGACACACCTGAGTGCCTTTAGTCGTGTTTGTTTGGGTCGTATGTTGTTTTTCCGGCGCTGTCTTTCAGAGACGGTTGAGTCAGGCCTACGGCAGGTGGGACGCCACTCAACAGCTCTGTCTAAACAACCGGCTGGATGAAGCGCTTCTACTCAACAAACCCTCATTCACATTCCTCCTCCTCCTCCTTCTCCGTTTCTCTTTCATCACTCTCTCTCTCTCTCTCTCTCTCTCTCCGGGCTCAACAACAAAATTACAACACCCAAAGCACTTAGCTGAACGTCGCTGACAAACTCACGTCACTTCAGAAACTCTGCATTCATGCGGTGTCACAACAACGTGGCTTTTTGGATATGATAATGCACCTAATTACACATTTACAAAAGAGTGTACATCAGTAAGAATGAGATGTTTTCAATGCACTGGAGATGTCTTTATCCTCCTCGACGTGTGATTCCTTTCACAGATTTACAACAGCATCTTTTGGAGGCAGACAGGCGGTGGATGTTATGGAGCTACTGGGCTACCAAAAGGCTTTGGTGAACCCACAACGGACAACAGCAGACATCTGGTAGAAACACAACCCCACCCAGCAGCAGCATAGCCAGAGAACAAGACACAAGAGAGGGATGGAGAAGAAGAAGAAGAAGAAGAAAAAAAAGTAAGAGTAGAGTAAGAGAAGAGAAGGACAAATGGAAAATGCAGAACAGCTCTGAGAGCTCACAGGAAGTGCAAACAGACTTTGGAAAAAAAAAAAGGACAGAAAGAGAAAGAGAGAGAAAGAAAGATGCACACAAGTTGAGGGTGGTGTGAGCGGAAGTAGAGCATGTAATATATGTACACAGTATAATGTTTAATGTTGTTCTAACCATGGTAAGGAAACTGCACTCCATCGCTCTCATGCTTAATCTTCCTCTCCTGCACACTGGCCAAATGGTGCTGCACTGAAAGGCCAAACAGGGGAGAAGGGAAGAGTTAACAATGGAGGAGGGGGAGGAGAGAAAAAAGACAGAGAAACAGAGAGAGAGATGGAAAGAATGAGGGAGAGAAATAGGGGTGGTTAAATAATGGGCAATAGGGGGATTTTAATGTTATTGAGTGCAGCAAGTGTCTATAAAATAGTTACATCATTACTGCTGGCAGTATTAAAATGGCAGCATGTGAGTGGGAGTGACGTTATAAACCGGAGAATACATGAACATTTTTTAAGCGATCCCCCCAAAGTCAAATACTACACCCAAGAGATATACATGAAGTCTACAGTACACACATTTGATACCCGTCATGATGGTGTAAAAGGGGCTTTAAGCCAAAGGGTGAGTGGTAAATGGGCGGTTACTGCTCAAGAAGACAACACAGGAGGATATGGCTGGTAAGAAAAATAATCAAATAATCATCTGGGAATAGTGGGACAGGAATAATTCGACACTTTGGGAAACTTAGCAAGAGTTAGATTTTAAATAAAAACAAAGTTTGATATCTTCCTCGTATCTGTGCAATAGGTGGCTTTCCACTGCAGGAACTCGGGGCAGGAACAGGAACGGCCCCCTAATCGGCCCTTTGAGGCTTTCTGTTTCCATTGTGGTGTCGAATCCAACAGCTCCAATGTCAACTCCGAGTGCGTCAAAACAAATAGGAGTTATTCGGCGTAACTCCAGCTCTAAGAGCACGTCGGAAATGGAAAAAATTGAGTTTTCTACATTAGCCTAGCTTTTAAATTTGATGTTTTTGATGGCAGTGTTTGGTCAAGACTGCTACACGATGAGGACATTGTGCTCGTTGTCGTCTTTAACCAGAATTGGGCATCACATTTTAGTTTTTTACAGGGTTGTTTGAAAGTAGCTGCTCTGGATTTCCTAAACAAAGCTTCACGAGGGCAGTTCTTGAGGTCAGAACATCGACAACGGTTCTGGATTCCCTGAAATGACCCACGAGTTCCTGCAGTGGACACGGCTGTATGAACCTAAACATGAAGCTACAGCCAGCAGTTGATTAGCTTAATGTTAGCTTAGCACAAGGATGAAACAGGAGAAAA